AATAACCTTATCATCAAATCATCAATTAATTCAACATCCTCCACTACCAATCATCTACAGATAAAGACATTTGCATGCAGACAAGACTTCACCCACCGTCCGATCTCACTAACGCTGGTTAATCTCAACCATGGTAGACATTCAACCATTTTGTCCAGTTAGTTATTATAGGAAGAAAAACCCAATAGCTGAGCCTGAGCTGAATTATAACTCCCATTTTCTCCTCCTTTTCTTCTCTGCTATGATGAGATTGATGGCTGTGAAATTTTCTTTAAGCTCTGTCCTTTTGACATGAGCGAGAGAGAGAGAGAGAGAGAGAGAGAGAGAGAGAGAGAGAGAGAGAAGCTCAAAGAATCTCCGGCGAATGAGTTTGAATTTTTCCTGCTCTCGCGTCTCCATTTTGTCCTAATAAAATTAGATTTATTTGATATTTCTGCACTCGCTTTCAGATCTGTGTATTTGCGTTTCATCTGCTGCTGGGGATTTTAGTCTGCTTTGAGTTTTGTCTTCGTTTATGTGTGTTAATTATTCGTCTTTTTCTGGCTTTTAGGCTACTTGCAGCTTAGCTCAGAATTGCCTTTTTTCATTCCCTTAACAGTAGTACAAGTTCTTTACCAGTGATTTTTCTTTTTCGTTGATTTAAAACATTTTCTTGAAATCTTCCAGTTAAGTTCACTACTTCTACTTTACCTTCAGATCTGCTCCATATTCCTGCATCTTTATGCAGATCTGCTCCATCTGAGGGGAAAGAAGTTCCTTTTTGTTTTTATTTGGAGATTTATTCTTCTTCTTCTTCTTCTTCTTCTTCGCAGCCATCGAATAACTCTAACTGATCAAGTGTATACCCATGTGGGTTTACAAACCCTCCAACAAAATTTAGTTCTTTCTGATAGAAATCCCATAAAAAAAGAGCTAAAAGAAAACGTTCATTTGGGCTGGATCCGATGCGCCTGTATCAGAGCATGATAAATTACTTCCCTGAGGAAGTATTGGAGCACGTGTTTGATTTTCTGACTTCACATCAGGACAGAAATGCGGTTTCTCTGGTGTGCAAGTCATGGTACAGTGTTGAAAGATTCAGCCGGGAGAAGGTCTTCATCGGCAACTGCTACGCCGTCAGTCCCGAGCGGCTGATCGCTAGATTCCCTAGGTTAAGGTCCTTGGCTCTCAAGGGGAAGCCCCATTTTGCGGACTTCAATCTGGTGCCCCATGATTGGGGCGGGTATGTGTACCCTTGGATTGATGCCATGGTTAGGAGAGGAATTAATCTGGAGGAGCTGAGGTTGAAGAGGATGGTGGTGTCTGACGAGAGCCTGGAGCTGCTAGCAAGGTCTTTCCCCAATTTCAAGTCTTTGGTGTTGGTCAGCTGTGAAGGTTTCACAACTGATGGCCTTGCTGCCATTGCATCAAATTGCAGGTATTGCACATGCCCGCCCTTCATTGAATGGCTTTCTTGTTGGGTTCAGATTGTGATCTATGTCCTATTTGTGATGTATTGAATGTTGGGTTCTATGTTTTCGCCGTCTGTGCATTTGGATTGGATTTTCGTGTCATATTTGGGATGCTGTGACTTGTGCTTAAAGGCATATGTTTGTGTTAAGTTATGTTTTATTCATGGTTGAACTTTCCGTAATGCAGGTTTCTTAGGGAGCTGGACTTGCAGGAAAATGAAGTTGACGACCGCAAGGGCCAGTGGCTCAGCTGTTTCCCAGAGACCTGCACCTCTCTCGTCTCATTGAATTTCGCGTGCCTTAAAGGAGAAGTCAATGTGGCGGCCCTTGAGAGGTTGGTGGCAAGATGCCCTAACCTCAGAAGCCTGAGGCTGAACCAGTCGGTTCCTCTGGATGCCCTTCCGAGGATACTAGTGAAAGCACCTCATCTGAATGATCTAGGAACGGGTTCTTTCGTCCAGGATCCTGATTCAGATGCTTGTAACAAGCTGCGAAACGTCCTTCAAAAGTACACATCCATAAGAAGCCTTTCAGGATTTCTGGACGTCAACCCCCGCTGCCTGCCTACTATATACCCAATCTGCACGAATCTGACTTCTCTGAACTTAAGCTATGCTCCTGGAATCTACAGCAACGAGCTAATAAAGCTTGTCTGCTACTGCAAGAATATAGAGCGTCTATGGGTTTGAATCCTAGTCAACCTTTTTCTTCATCTTTTTGTGTTTTACCTTTTCTCTTTTCCTTTTATTTTTTCCTAAATCTATCTAAACCATGGTTGTGAAATTGTATTTGACAGATTCTGGACACAATTGGAGATAAAGGGCTAGGGATCGTGGGGTCCACTTGCAAAGAGCTGCAGGAGCTAAGAGTTTTCCCGTCCGACCTGTATGGTGTGGGGAATGCTGGTGTTACCGAGGAGGGACTTGTTGCAATCTCGGCCGGGTGCCTGAAGCTCAACTCGCTGCTCTACTTCTGCCAGCAGATGACTAATGCTGCCCTAAAAACGGTGGCCAAGAACTGCCCAAACTTCATCCGCTTCCGACTCTGCACCCTCAACCCGACCGTACCAGATGCCAACACTGGCATGCCGCTCGACGAGGGCTTTGGGGAAATCGTCCGCTCGTGCCGAGACCTGAGGCGCCTGTCTGTCTCTGGCCTGCTTACTGACCAGGTATTTTTCTACATAGGGACACACGGAGAGAAACTGGAGATGTTGTCTGTGGCATTTGCTGGGGACAGTGATAAAGGTATGATGTATGTGCTTAGTGGGTGCAAGAAGCTGAGGAAGCTTGAAATTAGGGATAGCCCGTTTGGGGATGGTGCACTGCTGGCGGACGTGGGGAAGTACGAGACAATGCGATCCCTTTGGATGTCGTCGTGTGAGGTGACGCTTGGGGCTTGCAGGGTTCTCGCTGGAAGGATGCCGGGGCTCAATGTGGAGATCATCAACGATGGCGGGGCCCAGTTTGGAGATGGCGAGGCAAATAAACGAAAAGTGGAGAAGATGTACTTGTACCGGACACTGGTGGGCCCACGTGGGGATGCGCCGGAGTTTGTTTGGACACTGTAGGGATGAGCTCTGGTAATTTGACAAATTTGTCCTAGTTAGTTTTTGTTTTTCTTTTTTCTTTTAAATAATATCCTGGATGTATGAGTTGGTGAAAGTGTTGGACTTGGCATTTTTAGATGGGTGTGTGTAGTTTATAATTTTATTGGGGTGTTAGGGAGTTGGATTTTATGAACTCAATTGAATATTCATGTTGTTGTAAGATCTGTTTTGTTAATATTGGTGGTAAGCTGATGTTTGCATTCGCTAAGGCTTGTAGAAACTACTGAGTGCAGTCTCCAGTTATGAATGAATAAACATGGTTTAGCATTGGAGATATTATTGACTTGAAACTATGCCATGCAAAAGAGTTGCAGTTGGTGATGTGTGATTGACGAATACTGCCATTTTCTTTCAATGACAGTATGGGAGGATGGAGTAGGTCGATTTGCTCTTTAAACCGGGAATTATGGATATGTAGTGCATCGGGTGTTTTTGTCCGAAATTTTCAAACTGATTGTATTGAATGTTTTGCTTATGTCAACAAGTTATAGTAAGTAATGGTTGTGGGATATTATTTGCTTAGGTTTCTTTCTAAAATAAGAATTCTGCTTCAAGGAATGAAAAAAATGACTACCTACATTTAGCGTGGAGACGTTGGCTTACAGTTCAAGTAAACATAAGAAACCGAGAAGAGAACGTTTGCAGTGTACAACTGAGAACCTCATTTCTGGTACAAACTTATGGATGCAACATATATAGTCACTAGCACCGGTACGCGCAACATAGACCAGCCAAAACATAATATCTAAGGCCGATCAACATATCAATAATAAACACTGATAAAATTAAAGTTTTGCCACCGAGTATGTAGCATTATTCTCATGGAAACAAGCCAGAAATAACCAGTTCACTATTGACTAAGCAGAATTTTGATAAAAGATGCCCTTAGCTCAAAAGCAGAAGCAGCACTCCTCCAGAACACAGCAGCAACAGAGTGCAGCTAAACTGTAAAACAACAACACAATTCACTTCACCTCAACCTTATAACAGTGCTTTGCATTCAAAGAAATTCTTACAAAAGCTCGACTAACTTAGGTGCTTGAATACACTTCTAACAAGGAAATACACACCTCAAGCTACAAAGATAATGATCTGATATCAAGTTAACTTTACTAATACGGTCAAAGTTTGGCAGGTCATAGCATCCAAATAATGCTAAACATATCAAATGGCTGGGGCCGGAAGTTTTGCCCGTTCAGTTCATTTTTGAACCATACTATTTTATTTTCCCTTTCACCACACCTGTCTTTTGCAATTGCTAAACGGAATAATAATGAATAAACATTTTGTTCCCAAAAACATTTGTGCTACCCACAGGGTTCTAACCCCTGAATGCCGAGTCTTCTAATTTACTAATTTAGTTCTTTCCCACTTCCTTCAACGAAGTGAAAAGGAAAAAGAGAAAGAAAGAAAAAGAAACTACCATCAACAGGAAATCAGTGAATAGCTATGGCCATGTGGAAGGGAGCATATGAATGAGAACATGGATGAGCAACAGTCAATGAGCTCGGTTAAGAGTGTTTGCGACACTTAAAAAGAAGTCTCAGCCTAAAGCAAAAAATGATGGATTATAGCATTTAATTGCTTGTTTGAGAGCACTTGTCAATTGAACTTTTGAGAGTCGAAGTCTATTTACCATTACAATAGGCATTTGAGTGACGTTTTGAAGTAGACTTTGAACAAGTCATTCATAAAAAAATATGAAGAATTAATTTGGACTTCTTGAGAAGTTGATTTCATCAAATGCACCATTGCCAAAAGTACTCTTGAACAAGCACTAAAAATATCGACTTTTAGTCTCAATTCAACATATTCTGCCCAAACTATGAGAAAGTATGGATAGACGTGATTTAGAATTCTAACTATACAAATTCTGATGTGAAGCTGTCTAATGCTTAGGGCTGCCCAAACAATCCCATTGTTTTAACTTGGATTTGAAATTTACACACAAATAAGTAAACTTCAAGAACTTGATCACTACACGTTCAATTATATCCCTTAAACATTTGATATCACATTGATAGCCTTTCAACCGCTCTGAGACTTAAAAGTTTCGTTGGGCCACCTTATCCATTGATGTCTCATTACACATCAAAACTAGGCACACCTTATCCACTTTCATTATTAAGGATTTAATCTAGACTGGATAGAGACAAAATCGAACATACCAGCCTCGTAAAAAGGAGGTACAACCCGAGTGATCATCGTCGTGGTGGTGGTGATGGTGATCGATGTGGTGGTGAGGCGGCGGAGGGGGCGGGGGCCCACCACCGAAATATCCCTGATAACCCCCGGGGCCCGGCGGCGGGGGCGGATAAGTGTACCCTGACGTGTAAGGGTGGCCGTCCACCGGCGGTTGAGGTGGTGCCCTCGGCGGAGGATATACTGATCCGTACCCTGATTAAGACAAAAGGGAATTCGTGATTTTTGAGAAAAGCGCGAAGCTTTAACGAATTAGAGAGCTGAAAACGAAGGAATTCGTTATTAATTATAGAAGATAAATTTGTTGAGCAACGTTTGGAGAAAAACCTGGAGGAGGGTAACTTTCTTGGGGCACTTTGTGATAACTCATCTTCTGATTATTTCTCTGATCTCTCGACCGAAATCACTGGAAAAAAAAATGATGAACCTGTGATAAATCTACTCAGGTAGGTTTGTACCACAAAAATAAGAACAAAAAAAATAAAAAAATCTGCTTAGGTAGGTGGGTAGGTAGGCGGTTTAAAGATGGCCCTTATATGCACGGGATAGAGGTGGCGGCCGGCCCAACCGGCCCGCCGTCTCGGCACCGGATCGTTCCCAGCCCGCCTCGGCCCGAAAATCTGCGGTTCCGAGATCCGGGATCATCTCCTTGCGATTCGGTCTCGGTTCATTTTTTTTTTTTTTT